CGTTCCGAAGAGTCAATTGGAGGAAACGGTGGCCGCAAAGGCTTCTGGGGCGTGGAGTCTCCTCTTGTCTCGCGCAACCCGGCAGGCTCCGGAAAGGTTCCCCTTCAACCCCGAATTCCGAGCTTGAAGTTGTTTGGGACGGACGTTCCAACTAGGAATTCTGGGAGCTGAAGTCCGGTGGCCCGGAAGGCTCAGGACATTTGTCTCTCTAGTTGTATCTAGCTATGAATTACTGTATGAGGCTGCCGAGCTTTTTCTTCGCTTTGCCTCTCCCTCGTTTTTGTTCCTGGGCGCTGATCCAGCCCTGACAACTGAGTCATTTCTTAAGAGGAGCTGTTGCTCCTTTTTAATTAACAAAAGAGAGCTGTTCTGCTCGTTAAAAGTTGCTGCACTACAAGAAAGCGCGGATCCAGAGCTGCTTAATGCCCGAATGGTTATTTATGGGATTTGTAAACATTTAAGGGGTAACAAGATTTTGCTAGCGCTGCAGCATAAAGTTATTGCCTGCCACCGCATTAATCCCCATTTATTTGTTCACTGTGCTACTTCAGTCAGAGCAACTGTAAGTGGCTTAAAACGTTAGAGGAAATGCCAGCAGACAGTGCAATAATGAGACGTATTGTAATCATACATTTCTAATCGACAGACCCAGCACCATTTCTTAATCTCAGGACAAACACAACCTCATTAAAATAATAATTCTCCAAAACCGCCTTGAAACAGCCAGATCTTTTCAGACTTCCCAAATGTCACCAGGAGAGCGGCGAATTTTGCCTCTGGGGGAAGCTCTTCTATCTATCAGTGCCTACTAGTGTTTACACTGGGGCACTATACATGGGAAGTAATTCCCATGAAGTCCAGTGGAACTTACTCAGGGCTCAATGGGCATGTCTTGGAGTCTTATAATAGCCTTATAACATTGCTTGTTGTTTTAGAGTAGGAGCAGAGACTGCATGCTCTCTTCCAGTTGTACAGAACTCAGAATATTAGTTATCTGAAGCTGATATATTCTTTGTAAGCAGACTGTTTTCCAAGGAAATGAGTTGATTTTGTACATTGAGATAAACATTCAAAAGTTGTCTGCAACTTTCTTAATGTACTGTTTTAAAGCAAAAACGTGCTACAGGGCTGTTAGAAGAGTCTTAACATCTTATAACTGAGGATCCTCCTCGTTTTCTCTTTTCCTTAGGAGACGTCTTGCATCCTAAGGAACTCCCAGGATGGCCCGTACCAAGCAGACTGCCCGTAAATCCACTGGTGGGAAAGCGCCACGAAAGCAGCTGGCCACAAAAGCTGCTCGGAAAAGTGCGCCATCTACTGGTGGAGTGAAAAAACCTCACCGCTATAGGTATTTAGAATAAGCCCTTGGTGGAATTGGGGGTAGTTGCTCTCAGGCCTACAACCCGACCAGGCCCAAGAAGGGTTTGTCTGTTGGGGACGTTTGTACGTCCATTTTTGTTCGATCACCACTATTCATGACTTTTCTGTGGAAAGAACGTTCCTGATTCTTAAGTCCTTGAGTCCTTTCTGGGGAGTTGCTTGTTGGAGGAGAGCCATGTAAACTATTTCCATACAATCCCATCTAGGCCTGGCACCGTGGCCTTGCGAGAAATCCGGCGGTATCAAAAATCCACAGAGTTGCTGATCCGCAAGCTGCCATTCCAGCGCCTGGTCCGTGAAATTGCTCAGGACTTCAAGACAGACCTGCGGTTCCAGAGTGCTGCCATCGGAGCTTTGCAGGTCTGTGTTTCCTCACAGTCTCTCTTTTCCTGTTTCAGTGTGCATTTAGGCAGCTGTTCCACTGACAGCCAAATGTATTTCTAAGATGTCCTCCCAAAGCCCCTTTTCTGCTGTAGAATTGTACCCTGTACCCTTCTTAAAACCATACCCATGAAGCTTCAGCCAGTGTTAATCTTCTAATGCATAAGCTTCTGTTATTTAGCGTGGTTTCTTCTGTAGTGAGAGGTCTCTGGATTTCAGCAGAGTTTTTCCTTTCTCTGCCATTCTAGAATTTGTAAAATCCAGAGCCTGGAATGCATTATTGGATGAATTGAACAGGCTTGGAGAAAAAAAAAGAATTGAAATATCCCCTTCCTGAAATCATTCCTTCTTTTTTGACATTAACCATATCAAAAGAGCAGCACTTGCCAAAATAAGACAGTATTCTTCCTAAAAGATGCTAGAAAATCAGAGCACATTCTTATATGGAAATTGGACATGTCAAAAGTAACATAAAAGTAAATTGAATGTAGTAGAAATGAGGCTACTTAAGTATGTGTGGTAGACCAAGAGGTAAGGACAAGAATGAATGGGTGCCTAATATAAAGCCTTCCAGAAGGCAGTGAAGACCCCAAGCATTGGGCTAGGATGAAGGTTGGTAACTTAGTCGGTCTGGTGCCTGGTGGGAAAGGCTGTTTTTTTATTGGTGGTTGTGAGCTGCCTAGGATTGCCATGTGAGATGGGTGGCCATATAAGTCCTTAATTTATTTAAATAAATAAAAGTGCGTGACTAGTATGAGCTGGGTTGGTGATATAGAAGGAATGAATGGGAATTGAATTGCAAAGGAATGAATGAATGAATGAATGAATGAATGAATTAATGAATGAATGAATGAGTTGAGAGGAAGGGGAAGCCCGAGAAAGTTGTGGGTGGATGAAGCTGATGAGATCCTTGAAAAGAGAGGTGAGAGTTTAAAGAACAAAACAACATATGAAGCAGTGTGTGGATGTGATGGGGGTCAGGATAATATGAAAGGCCAGAAGGTTAAGGCAAGGTGGAGTGAATGGTGTTAGTGTAAATGATTTATTTGACAGTCTTTCTAGGCCACTCTGACCCCAAAGAACTTTGGCTGTAAGTTCTTTCCTTTTTCCTAACTTCTTTAATTTCTTTGGCTTATCTTTTTACTCCTGATCTGCACTCTGCGTAATGTTGCTTATCTCAAAAGGAAGGAATGTGATGGGTACGAGTCCAGGTGAAATGTGATCTACTAACTCTTCCTCTCCATTATTTGTGTGTGTGTGCGCGCGCATGTGCATGCGTGTATTCCCCTACCCTCAGATTGTGTAATTATCAGTTCCTTTTCTAACTGTGTCTTTCTGTATTCTTTAGGAAGCCAGCGAGGCGTACCTTGTGGGTCTGTTTGAGGATACCAACCTGTGTGCCATCCATGCCAAGCGGGTCACTATCATGCCAAAAGACATACAGCTGGCCCGCCGCATCCGTGGTGAACGAGCTTAAGTTCCACTCCCCTTCCAACACTTAAACTCCTTTCTTGGCAGCCCCACCCTGTTTGTGTATTAGAATACACTCCAGGTTTCCCTTTTTTTTCTCTCTCCTGCTCCTGTTTGTAGTAGCTAGGACATGTGAGGAAATGTTAGATAATCTATCATAGTAGCTCTCCAAGATCAGGAGACCTGATTGCTATTCATCATGTACAAGCAAAAAAAGAAAGAAAAAACCTTTGAAATCTGCAAGGCTTCTGGATGTTTTTTTGTAAAAACTTTTTTTTTTTCCAGAATTGCAAAAAAGTCCAACCCAACCAACCCAACAGGGGACACTTTTGAAATAATCTGGTTTTATATACAAAACTTAAATAGCTATAGGCGTTTCAGCGATAAGAGTTTTTGGTCTTGAGTTTGTAAAATACTTGCAAGCACTACACACTTCTGTTTCCTGTGTGGGGTTTTTTTTCTTTGTATTTAGGCAAGGAGTGCTTTCTAGATCCTTTACTTTCCTCTTTTCCATTTGTCTTGTGTCTGTGATTCTAACCTTTGTATCAATAGGGAACCACCTTGAGACAGTAAGGAAACAAATAAATGTTGAATGACAACAGTTTGGCTTTTGTTTTGGCTTCATGGTAGCTTGTGGGAGTATTTCTCTCCTTTTCCTCGGGAAGACGGATAGAAAGCCCTTGTGTTTGTGAAGCTGTTCAAACAATGAAATGTGCCAGAGTGGGAAACAAACAGTACGTGGCGTCCATAAAGCACTCTTGAACATATACCTTGGTCACCTGTGCGGCAGTCCTGAATACCTCTATACAGTAGTATTATTCCATATTGTGGAATTCAGTGGCTTGTGTCTAACAACCTTGTAGCAGAGATGGAATTTGAACCCCCCACAGGTTAGTTCCTGCGATAGTAGTATCTAATGTAGCATCTGTTTTGTGTGGCTAATTGTTTAGGAATAACCGCTGTGTTGCTGTATCTTCTGCTAGCCCTGCTTACCTGCTTTTAACAGCCAGTCACACAGAAATCTGGAGGACGTGTCCAGTGATGGTACAAAAGTAATCTGCTAAATTGTTACGGGTCTCACTGCTTACAGGATCATCTCTGGTACTTTTAGCCTGGATGACCATTTTCTGATCTGGGATTCAGTTAGCTTAAATGACTAGAACAGAGGTCTACAATTTTCAGCAGATGTATCCTCCAATAATTCACTTTTGTAGCATTGAATTTTCCTATGTTTGTAACTTCACAGCCTGAATAATATTAATTAGAAACAATGCTTCTTTTTACAAAAGGGGTCCTAAATATCCTCCTCATCCCCAGGCAGAAAAAAAAAAAATAGGTTTCCACTTAGAAACCTACTTAGTGATTGATGATGGTAGAGTTTTCCATGAAGCAAAGCACAAAAAATAAAGCAAATATGAATCCAAATATACAGCTGAGGCACCTAGATTTTTAAACAAGTACTCTGTTTTGTGCCTATAAGGCAGAGCGGTTATCAGTGGCAACGGCTGGAGCTTTTCATGAGGTCCCTGAGAATTTAGAATCAAGTCCCTACTCGTTATTTTTGCAATTAGGTGAATATTCTTCCCCCTGGAAAGTGGCATTGCTAATATCTGTGCCAATGGGACTCTAATCTGAGGGACTTTGCTATCAGGTTGCTGTGTTCCTGCCCACCTAGCCTTGCCAACAGCATCCGTGATGTTTTTCCTCTGCCCTTTTCTGCCTTGTACAGCTTTAACTACTGCTCAGTGGTACTTTCTAGCTTCAAGGATGGACCTCGAGGTGCTACCTTTTCCAAAAGCAAGACCGCCATCTATGTCCTTAGATGCCCATCTCCCTGGTAAAATGAATCACCCCTGGAATATGCCTGCCCTGTTATTTTTACTAAGGTTTCCTAAAAGTTGACAGGGTGGACCTGTGGGGGCCAATACTAACTTGTCAGAAGGCATCAATTAAGAATTGTTTGCAAATTTTCAGGCGATGTGAGTTTTTGACAAGCCCTCTAGCGTAACAGCAGCTCCAATATCTTCCGACACTTTCTGCCCCTCACTTTTTCCTTTGCTTAAGAACATCTAAATTATTTTTTAATACACATTTATTCGGCAGCTTCTGATTAGAATACTAATAATAAAACTGCAGGAAGCTACGAGGGTAGAAAGAGTTAACATCGGATGGAAAGTAGTGAAAACAGGAAGCAGACTTAAAAGTTGCAAAGGGTTTGTGAAAGTCCTAACACTGAATTTCCTGTAAAATACCTTCTGATCAGCAGAGGGCAGTACAGTCTCATTCGAAAATCACCAAGGGAGAGTGCACAGATGGTGGTTTCTGGAGTTATTTTTTGATTGAGTATGTGCCATCAAGTCACTGTCAACTTTTAGTGACCACAGAGATAGACCTTCTCCAGGATGATCTGTCCCCAACTTTGTCCTTCGGATTTTCCAACAGTGCCCCCATCGACAGTGTAACTGAGTCCGTCCACCTTGCTGCTGGTCGTTCTCTTTTCTTCCACTTCTCCCAGCATCAGAGAGCTGGGTCCTCGCGTAACGTGTCTGAAGTAGGATAATTTGAGCCTGGTCATTTGTCCCTCAAATGAGAACTCTGAGTTGATTTGTTGATCCATTTGGCTGTCCATGGTATTTTCAGGAGTTTTTTCCCAACACCCAAGCTCAAAAGCTTCAATACGCTTCCTATCGTGCTTCTTCAAGGTCCACTGAAGTTCTTTCCCTCCCCTTAAATTTCACTTGGGGATCAGCAGGGAGAGGTTAAGGATGGAGGATTTGGCAGCATTTCCTAGGTCCCGTCCAACTGCCTCTCTCTTTGGGGGAACATTAATTTTTTAATAATGATTGGGGTTTTTTTTTACTTCTTTTATATCTTGTATGCCACGCAGAACCGTTTCTTGTGAGATGGGAGGCTCTATAAATTTGATATACAAATAAATAAATTTTGGGGAATGTCTTCCTCCGCAGCCCCTGGCTGGATCTGGCCCACTTTCAAAGTCAGTCTTTTGCTACTTTCTCCCCCAACCTCAAATTTAGTCCCATTTGGTTAATTTTTCAGAGAGTTATCCTGCTGGTGGATGGATGTAAGAGATCCTGTGCTGCAATACTGTACATAATTTCTTTCCACCATTATTTTTCAATGAAAAGAATATCTAAAAAAGCCACCCCCCAGCTCTTTGTTTTGCCTGTCCTGTATACATGGGCTGTTTCTCTTTTCCTCCCTGTGGGGCAGGGGGCTTCGGGAAAAGAACAGGGTTTGCTTCTGGTGGGAGTGAAAGCAGTTTTTCTCTTTATAGCTGGGAAGTAATGTGAGATTTAATAAGAGATGTTGGTTAGTGCAAAAAAACCTGGGCTGCTAGAGCATATTACTGAATCCCAAGATTTGGACTGTGGTTTGTAAGGCATAATCAGTGGCTTAGTTGTGTGAGCCTGGCCAAGCTCCTAAGCGTTGACGATGACATCAGGTGTGTTGTGATGACATCACGTGTCATGATGTCATTACACAACTTGGGTCAGTCATCTGACTTCACGAAGACGTCTTGAGGCCTGTGACTTCCTTTTCCCCGCAGACAGCCTATTCAAGGCTTATTCAACAAACCCAGATTTGGCACTGGCTCTTGTAGCCCAAATTTGAAAACTGGGGTGGGTAGGATGAGCGGTGAAGTCTTGTCTCCTTTCATCTGTGTTTCCGTTTTCCTTACTCTCGTGACAGTAAGTTATCCTTTAATAGCTAGTGCTGGGCATGGCTGGCTGGGGAATTCTGGGAGCTGAAGTCCACCCATCTTAAAGTTGCTGAGGTTGAGGAACCCTGCAGTACAGGAGACGCAGGCATTTATTTCTCCCCTTGATTTTACTCTTCATTTCTCAGAGTTGATTAGAATCCCCCGATACACCCAAATAAGTTTCATAATTCGGGGGGGGGGGGCTGTAGTGTCTCTGAGTTCATCAAGGGAGCCCAGGATATCCACGGGGGTAAGGAAGGGCAAGTGACGCAGGAAGTCAGGGATTCAGTTGTGTAGTTGTGGCTGTCATTGTGACTTTTTGACACACAACCATCCCACAGATGCCTGCAGTGGTGTCATACACACCACGATGACATCATGGCATGATGGCATTGCACAAATGATGTAATTGATGCTGTGTGTGACATCCTTGTGGCTGCTTTCAGTTGCCTCTGAAGGGAATAAAATAAATGTGTTGAATAACTGCTTACTTTACCTGTTCTGTACGAGGCTTTCTGCAACAGCATGATCACAAGCTACACCTGTGAAGAAGCCCTGTGGGCCAATGTTGGTTAACGTACTCATTTTGGCTTATGAAGTATGATTTACAGCTTCTGCAAAAACATATTCTGGCTTAACCAAATGGTTCACACAATGGGCACCTTTCCCGTTGCACTCTGAATTACAAAGTACCCCACTCCATTTTAGCCTGGCCTAGTGGCTTGTGCAAATGGCAGGTAACCTGTTGCAGGAGCTTCTGCAGTTCCAAAGGGAGATGAGTTGGGAAAAAAGAAAAGAAAGCTTGGATGCTGTTGAGTAGAACTGAAGCTTTTTTCCCCCACTGGCTAAATGTCTGGGCGGGCCTGCCTGCCTGCCTGCCTGGTGATGCCAAGCTCTCTTTGCTAACCACTATACTAGCCACATCCTAGAATGCAGGATCTGAGGTGCTGGCAAGGCAGTGAGAGTAGTCCCTAGAGATGCATGGGTGCGGAGAATTATGTGGTCCTGCCAGTTTCCTTCTTCCCAACAGCTCTGCCCTGGGACTGCTGGCAGCCTGGATTTCCCTCCCCTGTACATTTCTCAAGGCATTAGCAAGGGCTTTGAATTCCTGAAGGGATTTGCGCACAGGGGTAGTTTTGTCCTAGCTGTGGTGCCACCCTTGGACCAGTTACCTTGGGGCTGGAGGTTGGAGAAGAGGTCTCCTTACTGAAAGGGTCAACTGTACACTCAGATAACCTCAGGGGGACCCCCTCTCAAGTGAGTTAGGGGTATCATTCAAGCACAGTCACTTGCAAACAGTTGGCTTCACACAAGGTTGGTGAAGACAGTTGTTCCCACTGCACAACGTGCCAAGCTTGGCTAGTGTTAATTTTGTTTAATTGTGATGTAACATGCCATGTTGACCCCACTGGGTTTGATTTGTCCAGGGTTCCACGTATGGTGGTTAATTTCATTGTACCCTCTGCAAACACAACCAGCAATTTGTCCTCGTTTTTGCATCAGGAGGGAGTTGGATTTGTTTTGGCACTGAGCTAATGCTGGCTTGCAACTGGGGGAGTTTCCAGGGTTCTCGCCTAGACTGAGATGTCAGCAGATATCTTAGAACAAGGCAGGAGCCACCCCTCCAATATGGTCGCCCCCCAATAGACGTCTCCGTGAAGTCTTTATGTCCAAGTAAGTGGCAGCAGATAGACAAGACCGGCCAGTCTCTAAAAAGCTAAGTAGGGTCTAACTTAAGCTAGACTGGGAAATGAAGCCATATTACTGGCAAGAAAACTATATGGGCACATCCATTGCATTCAAACGTGGCTCCGGGGAAGCTTTGGTGTTCTGTGTTGATCATCAGGGTGCTAAATCATAGCACGTGTTGGTGGTTGGTA